TCCTGCAATTGCAGAGTTTATCTGGCTGTTGTTGCTTAGCAACCAGAAGCTGTTTGTTGTGGGCTCTGATTATACTGCCCATGTTTCTTGAGCAGCTATAGCTGACTTTAACATTGTTCTTGTTGAACAGCTTGTTATATATATATATACATACATATTTGGGTGGGGTGTACTGTATGCACGTAATGTGTATTATGTACATTATTTGTGTGGGGAGAGGGTGAGGGGTGTTTATGATTTATTTAAGCTCTAAATTGTATTTTCGTTAGTTAAGTTCTTTCATTTGTTTAGCTTTAAGTTGTTGTTTTCCTCTTTGTTCATTAGTTTAAGTTTGACTGCACCACTTTCTTATGTGCTACCACTGTTGTAAAAGTGTAATGTCAAATAAATATTATTATTATTATTATTATTATTATTATTATTATTATTATTAAGACAAGTAACTACTTTCGAGTACGAATAACAGCGGCAAATTAGGCTGACTTCAAAGAAAGCCTAGCCTACTTTGTGTGCGTAATGTTGGGGAATGCAATCAACAGAGAAAGAGTAGTTATTTGGATTTTTAGTTGTCAACGTAATTAAAACACCATTCACTTCAAAGTGATGGAGATAATATGCATATAAAATCAAACCTTTTAAAGCTGGAGTTAAAAATGTAGGGTTTTAGGACTGAAATAATGAATTTTTCATCTAAAAAATTTCGCAGTCTCTCACAGATTCTCTATAATGGGAATTCATCCCCTCGTCCCATGCTCAGAGTTATTATTATAAGCCTACAGTGCTTGTTTTTCGTTATTTTATTTATTTGCAATAGTGTGCAGGCCGTAAAATCCCCCGCGAAAAAATGTTAGGCCTAGAAATCCATCGCCGCATTTCAAAAAAGAATTTACGTGGTAAAACACATCACTCCTTGGTTGACTTTTCTCTGTGGTTGATGTATTTTATGCAAAAAGGACTTTCGTCAGCGGTTGTCAACAACTGAGTTACAGTATGCACGCAAAGATCGTACGCTGCGGATAACCTACGCAGCATTTTATTTACACGATCTTTTGTTACTTTTTTCGCCAGTGCTGTACACGATAAAATCGTATATAATGGCCTATAACTTCATTTTAAAAAATGCCAAAAAACGATTTTAAGGTTGATTCTATAATTAATGGCGTATCAAATATCCCCTTTAGAACAAAAAATCATTTTGCTAGTACTTACTGACGAGAGTCATAAAATAAAATACAACGCCACACATTTTCTGATAACCGAATTCCATGTGAATACTTTATTAGATAATACAATAGCAGTATAGGGCATAGACGCACGCTCCTGCCGCTCTGGGAGCCTAATTTTTCATTTTCCTTGTATTTTATATGTATAATATAGGCCTATGCCTATTTTATATTGTATTTAATACTGGCCAGGGGTGGCCACTTGATGTGTTGGACTTTAGCCCATATCATCTTTAGTCAGAGAAATGTCTTCCCCACAGCAAGTCAGTATAACAGCCTCGATTTATTTTAAGAACTCAGTTAATCTTTCCATTAATTAACTAATATCTGATAGGGCCACGATGCATATTATATTTTAGCTTTTCGATAGGGCCCATTTCATCTTCACACACACATAATACCTATATTCCATCACTTCGAGTCCTGCTACATTGCAAGTCATCAGAAAAAATGAAGCTTCTGAAAACATGACAATACGAGCAACTATGAATAATTCAATTAAAAAAGACATTGATTCAAAACGTTTATTTGAGGTTGCAATTTCCTTATTTGGTGATTGCATTAATATAATATGGATGGTCTTCCATTTCGGTAGTTTTTTCAACTGGTTGTTTGTTAACAGACGATATAGTTGAATGTTATAGCAGGACCTATTAATAAGGTCCATGGTAGGGACTATGCAAGTGTTGGTTAATAGTTCAATCGTATAGCGAAAGTGATGTTCATAATTTATTCACCAATAGAGGGTTATGCTAATGAATTCACAGAGCTATGGTAAAAAGACTAGTGCCGTAGAGGTTGATAAAAAGTGTCAGTTTCATACCAAAAATAACCAAATTATAGAATACATTGGGTTTTATTCGAACAGGCTTTTAACAGTCAAATTAAGTCACGAAATTATGTGGAAACCAGAAAGTGGATGTGAGCTATATGTCTATGGCCTCACCAATCATCACGAAAATAGTACTGTATATGGAAGTTCGTATGATTCATTGTAAAGATGTTTAAGAATCACCTAAATATTACTAATTATACAGGTTGAATATTATAGTAAATCTAGTTGTATTATAGAAAACTAGTTACTACGACTACTAGTTAAAGCCCGACTTGAAACACACAGTGAGAGTTTACGTGACTTAGTTAGTGGGGTGGAGGGGTCATGCATATTTTCTATTGGTTCTAGCTGTGTAACTAAAAAAACTTGCGGAACCACTGCAAGAGCAGAGCCACCTCGGGGTGCACGGGAGCTCTAAACAGGGGTGGCGCCAGAGGGGGGGCTGGGGGCTGTAGCCCCCCGTCGGGGAAGTATAGACCCCCCCCCCGTCGGGGAAGACGATAAATTTTGTCGGGGAACAAACAAATAAAAAAAAAATATTTACATGTAATATTCGTTTAGCCACCATATCGTTTGTGTTAACTTTTCATCACAATAACAACCACAATAACAATAATAATAATAATAATAATAATAATAATAATAATAATAATAATAATAATAATAATAATAATAATTCAATGAGACTAATTAAAAATAATTTGCGTTCTGTTATGACAAATGCTCATTTAGATAGCCTCATGATGGTTGGAATACATCGTGATAGGTGAAGCAACTTCGACCATGGCAACGTGGTTGACAGATTTCATGCAAAATTTCCAAAATATAGAATTTCACTTTCAAGAATGAGGATTTGAAAATAAATTAGATGGTTACATTGCATACTCTTTGTTTTTTGCTTTATTTAAAATGTTTTGGTTTTGGAAGCTGATGTCAACATTAGAAAGCATAGCCTACATGAAGTCATATTATAGTAACTCGATGCCTATCAAATAAGTAATAAAAATTCGCCATAATTCATCAAATATCCGTGGTGATGCGAGTTTGCGTCAGGAAAATATCATAGTAATGATGTTTCGCCCTACCTGAAGTGTTCTCGTACCGAATACTCAGTACGTCCCCAAATACTTGTTGAATGTAGGCACCTATCATTTTTAACTGTTCTAGGCCTACGTAAAAATGTTGGTAAACAGAAATTAACGATTTTGATGGTGAGAAAAAGCTCCTTAACAGAGGTGATGAATGAACCAACATAACAATTAGTGGCAGGCCCGTATCCAGGGGGAGGGGGGTTTATGGTTTGGGAGAACTCCCTTTTCTAGCAAACCCCCCCTCTTTTCTGGCGAACCCCCCTCTTCAAATTTTCCAAATAAGTCCTCCAACCCATCTAATGCACTGCAAGACCCACCCAGACAAAGACCTTTTCAAACATAAACCAGAAAGTGGATGTGAGCTATATGTCTATGGCCTCACCAATCATCACGAAAATAGTACTGTATATGGAAGTTCGTATGAATCATTGTAAAAATGTTTAAGAATCACCAAAATATTACTAATTATACAGGTTGAATATTATAGTAAATCTAGTTGTATTGTATTATAGAAAACTAGTTACTACGACTACTAGCTAAAGCCCGACTTGAAACACACAGTGAGAGTTTACGTGACTTCTGCTAATTAGTGGGGTGGAGGGCTCATGCATATTTTCTATTTGACCTAGCTGTGTAACTAGAAAAACTTGCGGAACCCCTCCAGAGTTACCTCGGGGTGCACGGGGAGCTCTAAACGAATAAACCTTTTCAAAAGAAGCACATGACCGCACAATATCCTGTATATGTATGTTTTCTTATTTTATTGTATAAACAGTGCAACAGGAAATAAAATGTATTTTATTACGGCAGACATTGCGTTATAGACCTAATAGAAAAGAAAATATTGTTTATCTTTATCCGTTTTGTGAGTACAGTACACGGGACTTTCCTATATACTTGCAAAAGAACAACATTCACGGCTAGTTTATCCTTGTTCATTTTACTGTAAAACTTCCTTGTGACAACAACAAACGCATCTAGGACGTAAAGCAAGGTAATTAAAATTGTTAATTATAATGTATTCTTATAAAAGTAAGAACAAATTAACAAAAAAAGAAAATGTTGTAATTCAAATCATGAATAACAGGATAGTATAAATAACACAAATTTATAAGAAATAAACCAAGATTTTATCAGGAAATTCGCCGACATTTTCCATTTAGTTATCATTTGGTGATATTCCGTTATAATCGTATGCTTGATACGATCATAACGGAATATCATCAAATATTAGTATTATCATGCTTGTCGCCAATCTATGGCTGGGAACTGCATTTTTTTTTATGAAATATTAAATTCATCAGAAGTTTTAAATAATCAAAAATGTCTTTACCCCTTGTCGTTTTCTTTGGATACACCGGACGTCCCAGACAAAACAAATTAGATGGTTTCACTTATTTTTATTATTTTTATTTTATTACTTCACGACAGCATCAAACACATCGGAGACGCTGAGCAAGGTAAATAAATGTAATGTCTATAAAGTATTCTTATACAAGTAAGAACAAATTAACTCAGGAAAAGGTAAAAATGACAATGTTGTGATGCGAGTTTGCGTCAGGAAAATATCATAGGAGTGATGTTTCGCACTACCTGACGTGTTATCGTACCGAATACTCAGTACCTCCCCAAATACTTGTTGAATGTATGCACCTATAATTTTTAACTGTTCTAGGCCTACGTAAAAATGTTGGTAAACAACAGAAAATACCGATTTATTTGATGGTGAGAAAAAGCTCCTTAACAGAGGTGATGAATGAACAAACAAAAAAATTAGTGGAGTGGTGGTTAATAAAGAGATTAACAAATGTTGAAGGTGTAGGGTCAAGGTCACAAAAAGTCAAATTTTGAGGGTTTTTACATTATTATTCCGGTACCCAGGCAGAGGGCGGAGGTATGCACTAAATGGTCTGACTGCTCTAGTTAGTTAATAGGCCTATACATCACAGACATGATTATTTTTAATATCATTCTAAATAATAATTTTTAAAAAGACCGTGACAATTTGGTGATATTCATTCGTTCTTAATTTTCGTTTATACTTATTTACATATTATATAATACAGTACGAGACGCCATTGCAAGTTTAAAATAGCAATGGGTGAATTCTAATCGGAATGACATCTACAGTGAAACAGATCGTAATTTATGCATGCATTAAGGCCTGACCAAGTCATCAAATCAACTTCTTGGCCTGATCAACAAACATCGTCAGCCAAATTGTCTGTTCTCTAATTTAACTACTTTACCGTTGATTTTGCTGTAGCTTTTGTCCCTGTACCATGCCCGGGAACCTTTAATAAGCCGACATTAATTATGATGCAATAATGAAATAATAACTGACACTAATTTTTGTTTTTACATTATTATTTCGGTACCCAGGCAGAGGGCGGAGGTATGCACTAAATGGTCTGACTGCTAGTTAGCTAATAGGCCTATACATCACAGACATGATTATTTTTAATATCATTCTAAATAATAATTTTTAAAAAGACCGTGACAATTTGGTGATATTCATTCGTTCTTAATTTTCGTTTATACTTATTTTCATATTATATAATACAGTATGGGACGCCATTGCAAGTTTTAAATAGCAATGGGGGAATTCTAATCGGAATGACATCTACAGTGAAACAGATCGAAATTTATGCATGCATTAAAGCCTGACCAAGTCATAAATCAACTTCTTGGCCTGATCAACAAACATGGTCAGCCAAATTGTCTTTTCTCTAATTAAACGACTTTACCGCTGATTTTGCTGTAGCTTAGCCCGGGAACCTTTAATAAGCCGACATTAATTATGATGCAATAATGAAATAATAACTGACACTAATTTTTGTTCGTGCAATCTAAGCCATTTTAGAGAACACACTAAATAATTAAAGCAGACTTTCACACATGAAAATGTAATTTTTATTGTGATTTATTGGAAAAAGTACGAGATTTCACATATATAGCTTGAGATTTGACCTGAATGCATGATTCTCACTCCAGGTGCGTACACAAGTTACACAGATTAATGCAGATTAAAGTGAAGTAGTGATTCCAAGCTGGAATCAATTGGCCATAAAGGTTCTCGGTCAGGGTACAGGGACAAAGTTAAATTAGAGACAATTTATATATATATTAATAATATATATTATTTATATATATATATATTATTTATATACATATATATTTTATATTATATATATATATATTATATATATACATATATATATATATATATATTGAAAGTACGATGTATAAACTATATAATAATGCATTAGTAATTAATGTTCCTGCCCCGAAGCGCCCGTCGGGGTATAGCACTATGGAATACTTCAGTAAAAATTAAAAATTGTACAATACTCGATTTCATAAATAAGTTCGCGCCCACGTAGTTAGACAGGAGATGGCTTTAGTCTGGATTTATATGTGTCAAGGGCCCCAACGGTACCCTCGAACCAGAGTCCCTCGGAACCTAATTACACCACTGTCTATCTGGCTATCCATCTATCTATCTATGCATTAACTATCTATCCATCATAATTTATACCGCGTTATTTCCAAGGGATTCGAGTAGGGAGTATCGCTTTCAATGTAAAAACAAAAGTGAAATCGACTCTGGTTCTGCTTTGTCGAAAACATATTAATAAAAATAAAAATAACTTGAGCACACTTCGATAGTTTATAGCTCCGACTACATCATAATTCTTCCCTGCATAAAATTTTCACGCATCTTTTCCTTTAGAAAACAAAATATTTTAAGAATGAAAACATAATATTAACCTCGACCCTGATTTAAACTCTTGACAAAACGAACAAAGCAAACGCAATAACCAATTAGACAACGAATGCGTTATTGTCACCAAATTGGCATACATTTTTCAGTGCCTCAATAAATATAAAGAGCATGGCCGTTTGGCGATGGTGTTATTAATGACACCGACAAAAAATATATCGGTATGTTTATGTCAAAAACGTATGAATAATTTTCATATTTCCCTTTGAGATGTCAAAATATTTTGACTGTTATTGTCTTCTAACTTTGTATTTTTACATAAAATTTGTAAGTTTAAATAGTTTATTTAACTTATTAAATCACTATCGGGTTTTTTTTTTTAGATAATGCCTACTTGTGAAAACTCAAACATTACTTTGGACCAAACATCAGATTCTGTTGAACTTGTTCTCTCTGCATCACGTTACATCTTGGTCATCATTGGAATCTTTGCCAACTTAACCGTGATCATTGTGTTTATCAACTGCAAAACTTATAAAAAGTGCTTCACTTATCTCTTAGTATTCCAACAGGCATGTATTGATTTGATGGGATGCTGCCTGTACCTCATTTTCTACAACTATCGTGTACCTGACGGTGAAAATGGCATTGTTTATTGCAAATGCAGAACTGTGTTCTGGGTATTTGCATCGGCCTCAATCTTCAATCTTGTCTATATATCTGTAGAGAGGTACATCGCAGTTGTGCATCCATTGAAGTATTGGATAAGAGAAAAAAGAAAGACTAAAACGGTCTTTAAGCTGTGTGTTCCGTGGTTAGTCGCCATACTTGTAATATTTCAGTTGGCCATTCATTTTGTCCCTGATACTTTAAGTCCAGGTAATTGCAGGTTTTGTTACAGCAGCGAAACCGTGCGGGTAATCTCCGGTGGCTCGATTTTCCTATTGAATTATATAATTCCCGTTGTTGTTATGACATTTTGCTACCGTCGTGTTTACGTCACGATGCAGAAACGTCCTGAGGTACGAAAACATTTGCGCAATAATTCTAGCTCTGCACAGACCGACCGCTCAGATGACAACGAAACAGGGGACAAGGACTTCAAAGTAGAAAATCCGAAACAAAAATTTACTCACTATAGTAAGAATCAAACTAATTTCATAATAACTATGGCAGTTACTACGCTCGTGTTTGCTATCAGCATCTCACCACTTTTAATATTGTATGTCGTTTATATTCTGTGCGACTGTTTTGATTACGACAGACATCCTTTAAGACAAGCGACACACATATCGTTCGTATGGGGTCTAGTTGCTAACCCGTTTGTATATGCATTTAAATTCAATACATATATATATATATATATATGTATATATATATATATATATATATAATGATAATTGATTATCAATAATTATGTCAAAGAAAAGTCTGATTAGCAAATGAAACTAAAAGAAGATACCAATGTATTACGAATAAAGATAACAGGCAAGAAGGGTTGAATACTCACAGAGATATATTACTCAAAGGAATTCCTACATTAAAACTTGTAAACAGAATTTAACTAAAGATATTGAAGGATTGGAAAAACTTAAAGATAAATATGATAAGATGTTTAAAGTACTGAGAAATCTGCAAAAATGGCATGGTAAATTGATCATTAGAAATGGAGAGGAAATAATTGTTACTAAAAAAATCAAATCAAAATTGTAATGGAGTGTTTCAGAGACATTTAACTAAGTTCAACAAGGAAGGGAAAATAGATGTAAGTAGTTGCGAGATGAAAATAAAAATAGCTCTGGGTTTGATAAATTTATATGTATGCTCCTAAAGAAGACATTGTCGTCGGGGTGTTTACCCATGTTCATAAAGCAATTAGCGCGCCACACTCGTTCAGAAATTCTAGATTGGCATATAAAGATCCATATGTAATAAGAGTCTTACAATAAATGACATTGGGTGTGATGAATTCTCCGCTGAAGGGATAAGTACAGTACATAGGTGTTTAAATGTTACAGAAGCGTGCAATAAGATAAACCGAACAAGAGAGTGCCAAGTGAAATTAGACAAGACATCATTATCCTTTTTACAGAAACTATGAAAAAAAGAGAGCTGTCAAAAATCTTTAGACCAGTCGTTCAACTATGTACTTTACGTGAAGTATTAGCTATAGGCCTATGTCTGATAAATAGGATGTAAACTCAGAAAGAAATTTCCTCTCTCACAAGTTGCATACAGTAAGGGTAAAAGCACCATTCAACAAGTGCTGATCTGAAAAGAGGATCATGACATGAGCGGGACGTTTGGAACGGTTATCAGGAAAAAAAGTATTACCATTGTTGCCATTGATTCCGATAAACTAAGCTTTTTTTAAGAAAAATACCTTTTGAAGAAGTTCAATTGAAGGTTATAATTGGCAAAGAGACAAGGAACACAAAGTATCCACAAGGACGTATAAGTTTCAAGAATCGGTATCACGAGTAATGTCACAAGATGCATGACGTTCTATAATGATAATGCACATAGAAACTATTTTTGCCCTGAGACACAATTCCACTACGATACAATAATAACCATGTCACCTCATTTTCGCGCGATGTCCAGACGTTATGTTATTCCAACTATTATGTCAATGATTTTCCTAATAATTATGTTAGTAAATTATTAAAAGTGGTAATGCTTGCTGACGATACCAGTGTGTTCTATAGTAACAAAGGCATACGCCAAACGTACAATATTATGAAAAGTGAACTTTCAAATTGATCTAAATGGCTTAAAGTCAATAAACTAACTGTTAATAGTAAAAGAAATAAACAAATATATATTTTTTTAGAAGTAGAAATAAACCGTATAATCCTTCATTATGTAATTTATCTTTTTATCAAACGAATATTGAAGAAACAGATATTACAAAGTTTCTTGGAGTATACATCTATTGTCATTTAAGCTTTGTTCACATCAAATTTATTGTTTGTTACTAAAGAGTACTGCGAAGCCTCCTGTTCAAAACCAACGGAAATGGGAAATTTTGATGGAGACTGAATTGGATACACACTTGGCGCAGTAAACTCAAAAATGATAAGATAATGTAATTAGGCAATTGAACTTTAAGTTACTTCACATGATTGTACCTACAAGAAAATTATTATTTAAATATAAGATTGTTAATGATAATCGGTGTATTGAATACAATGTACTGGATGATGAATTACATTATTTTTTTAATGTAAAGAAGCAAGAGTAATGTGGAATTTTATTAATTATAGATTTAAATTAAAAACACCAGTGTCCTTTCATAACATTGTACTAGGTACAGGCAACATGTTTTTAGATGATATCTGTAGTCTTAGAGCATTCTGTATATACAAGGCACGAACGTTAAAACACATTGGTAAATGGAAGCTTAATTCCACTGCCACCTTATTTTCAGTAGAGTATTTTAACAGAAAGTTATTAAATAAAATTAAAAATAAAAAAAAATTAAAATGGCATTATGGAGTTATGTGTATATAGATAACTTCATTTATAGGGCTAATTTGCTTATTGTGTAAGTGTGGGTATTGAACATATGGTATAGGTATAGCCCATAAGTATGTGTATGTGAAAATTTACATGAGTATTTATGGAGGTATGTTGACATATGCCTAGGATTTCTGATTAATATTTGATTAATGTAAGCTACTCGTCATCCTGCCATGTATGCGAGTACAATGTATATGTATGTATGTATGTATATTATTTATATTAAAAGAGGTTAGTAGAACATAATCGGGAAAATGGGAAAAATATACATATAAAAGGAACCATTGAAAACATATGTTAAAAGTCTTACTTACTATGAAAATAACCATAAAGAAATAATAGCCATCACGATGGACTGATCCCTTTTAAAGAAAAGTGATTTTTATCTCTGTAAATACTCTGTAAATATTTCACAGTACACATAAAACCTATTAATTGTTCACAATATTGGTAACATTGCTAAAAAGATTGACAAAACCGCTTCATTCTACGTTCCAATATACTAAATACAGGGGCGGATGGATGCATTATGAACAATAAAATGTATAATTAGTAATATTTAGGTAATTCTTAAACATCTTTACAATGAATCATAAGAACTTCCATATACAGTACTATTTTCGTGATGATTGGTGAGGCCATAGACATATAGCTCACATCCACTTTCTGGTTTCCACATAATTTCGTGACTTAATTTGACTATTAAAAGCCTATTCGAATAAAACCCAATGTATTCTATTATTTGGTTATTTTTGGTATGAAACTGAAACGTTTTATTAACCTCTACGGCACTAGTCTTTTTACCACAGTTCTGTGAATTCATTATTTCTGTGACAGTCTTTTGAAGTGTGTAAAGCTCCATTTTATCCCATACATAGTCAAAATATTGGAGGGATGATACAATGGACCATCCCCCTTGTCAAATATTGGGGGGATATATCCCCCATCCCCGGGATCTACGCCTATGTGCGTATCATATTGTATCATATGAGAGTTCAATTTCCGGGCATAACGTTTCTCACCTTATCTCTAGCCATGGTGGGGCTGAGGTAGTGTTGACTCTCATGCTCCCCTACTGCCAAATCCTGCATCCACCCCAGAATTACAATTCACAGATCGTTGATTCTTACTAATCTACACAGACTACTGACATTTAAAAAGAAAGCATTGAGGGCTTTGCATAAAAAAACATTTTCTGCACCTCTTAATGCCTCTTTTTACTTCATCAAAAACAATTAACATTATATTGTTGATTTTTTTTAAAACAAATATTGCAATAATTACTTAAGAAGAAATATACAAATAATTTTTAATGAATTATATAGAACTACTAAAGCAGTACATAATCATCATACTAGATACCACGATAGTTTGTATATTTCAAAATAGAGAACAAATACAGGTCAAGAACTTACCTTATACACAGGCCCAAAATCTCGAATAGCTTTCCCTAAATACTGGCTTAACAAATACTATATTTGTGATAACATTTTAATTTTCTTTTAAAATTTGACCTTTACTGAATTTCAAAGCTAGTATTTTAAATGTGGAGAGCCTCTTAACTGTTTTATGTATAACATTTATTTTAGCAATCCTGATTCGTTGATTTACATTAATAGCAAAATAAATTACATGATACAATATGATACGCACATAGGCGTAGATCCCGGGGATGGGGGATATATCCCACCAATATTTGACAAGGGGGGATGGTCCATTGTATCATCCCCCCCAATATTTTGACTATGTATGGGATAAAATGAAGCTTTACACACTTCAAAAGACTGTCACAGAAATAATGAATTCACAGAACTGTGGTAAAAAGACTAGTGCCGTAAAGGTTGATAAAACGTTTTAGTTTCATACCAAAAATAACCAAATAATAGAATACATTGGGTTTTATTCGAATAGGCTTTTAATAGTCAAATTAAGTCACGAAATTATGTGGAAACCAGAAAGTGGATGTGAGCTATATGTCTATAGCCTCACCAATCATCACGAAAATAGTACTGTATATGGAAGTTCTTATGATTCATTGTAAAGATGTTTAAGAATCACCTAAATATTACTAATTATACAGGTTGAATATTATAGTAAATCTAGTTGTATTATATTATAGAAAACTAGTTACTACGACTACTAGCTAAAGCCCGACTTGAAACACACAGTGAGAGTTTACGTGACTTCTGCTAGTTAGTGGGGTGGGTGGAGGGGTCATCCATATTTTCTATTCGTCCTAGCTGTGTAACTAAAAAAACTTGCGGAACCCATGCAGAGTTATCTCGGGGTGCACGGGGAGCTCTAAACGAATAAACCTTTTCAAAAGAAGCACATGACCGCACAATATCCTGTATATGTATGTTTTCTTATTTTATTGTATAACCAGTGCAACAGAAAATAAAATGTATTTTATTACGGCAGACATTGCGTTATAGACCTCATAGAAAAGAAAATGTTGTTTGTTATCTTGATCCGTTTTGTGAGTACAGTACACGGTAGGCCCTACTTTCCTATATACTTGCAAAAGAACAACATTGAGGGGTAGTTTATCCTTGTTCATTTTACTGTATTACTTCCTTGTGACATCAACAAACGCATCTGGGACGTAAAGCAAGGTAATTAAAATTGTTAATTATAATGTATTCTTATAAAAGTAAGAACAAATTAACAAAAAAAAAGGGGGAAAATGTAATTCAAATCATGAATAACAGGATAGTATAAATAACACAAATTTATAAGAAATAAACCAAGATTTATTTTTATCAGGAAATTCGTGGACATTTTCCTTTTAGTTATCATTTGATGATATTCTGTTATA